GGTCTCTCCTGCCCGGGCTGGCTTTGAACCGCGATCCTCAGATCTCAGCCTCCTGAGTAGCTAGGATCACAGGCGTGAGCCACCAGCGCCCGGCTACCAGCCTGTGTTTCAATGGGACAACATGAGAAAATCTGCATGGAGCTTCCTCCCCCAGAGCCCTCTCCCCACCAGGCCCGACGTGCTGACCTTTTCTCCACAGGTAGCAACCAGCACTGTCTTAGTGACGTACTGTTCAAAGAGCAAGGCGAGGAGAACCCACAGGAACTTGTCTGCTCCAAGCGTGTCCACAAGCTGGACCAGGATAGGCAGGCGCCGGTGCTCAGGAACGTGTGGCAGTGCATCCACGAACACGCTGATGATCTTCACTGCGAGCACTTCCACATTCCTTGTGACTTCCTTGGAATCTCCATGGTCAGACTGCAGAAGAGTGGGAACAAACCTTGAGTGAGCAGACAGCGCCTTCGGTGTGCCCAAGGGGACACTGAGTGTGAACTGAGAGGAGCACCCAGGGCTCTTCATCTCATAAAACCTCCGTACACAGACAGATACCAATGGTAGGACGCCGATGCGCAGCACAGACACTGAGTCTGCTGCAGTGCCGGGAAGGACTGAAGCAGGCAGGGCACAGAAGAGACCACGTATTTCCTGCTGCTTCAGAATACAATCGTGTTACTTCAGGAATGGTGCTCAGTGAAAGCACAAGTGTATTACTGAGTAAACGCTTGCATGAAAAACTCCACGCCCACGTGCCTGGCTCATCCTGCTGCCCATCAACTGCCTAGTGCGTGCTTCACATGTGCTCAGGCCTGGCCCACACCGGGCCTCTCATCCTGCCACTGATGGCTTACCGCTCCTTTCCTGTCTTTCTGTCTTAAGGGACACTCTTATTCTCTCCTGCTTTCCAGTGTTCCCTAGTCCTACGGCACACAGCTTAATGAATACACCTGCTTTTCTTCTCAGGCATATGTATGCCCTACCTACACTTGCCAACCTGGCAGGCATAGGAAACACCAAATCTGATGTCAAGATTAGAAGGAAAAGGTGTGGGAATGTTTATTCTAAAACGGCCAAGGCCTGGGGAGGCATGCTCATTACGAGCAGTTAAGCAGAATCTCAGTGGAAATAACCACACCCCAACTCTTCCTTCCACCAGAAGAGATGATATCCACATGTCTGAAGACTTTCTTGAATATGCCTTGGTAAATTTTTTTTTTTTTTGTCGGTCATTGGGCTTGAACTCTGGGCTTGGGCGCTGTCCCTGGGCTCTTCAGCTCAAGGCGAGTGCTTTACCACTTAAGCCACAGTGCCACTTCCAGTTTTTTAGTGGTTTATTGAAGATTAAGAGTCTCACAGACTGGGCTGGCCTGGCCTTGAACCACAATCCTCAGATCTCAGCCTCCTGAGTAGCTAGGATTACAGGCGTGAGCCACCGGCCTGGGCCTTGGTAACTATTTTAAAATCAAAGTGTTAAAGCTCATCTGGAATTCCACAACCCATCCACATGATCTGAAGGCACTTCTGTTGTTATGCCTTATAGTGCAGCGTAACTGGATGTGACGTATTTACTTGTATGGCTGGAAATGGTAGTATTTGTAAGAACCCTGTTAGCCTCGCTATTCTTGAGCTTGGGAGGCACAAGTGTGAAGGCACTTTAGGAGTGTTGAATGTGCCACTAACGTGCGAACTGCAAAAGTGAATGAACAGCAGTAACCTGAGACAGCTTACCTGGATAAGTGCTGGAATGACCATTTTCACTGTCTTGCTAATAACTTGGAAACTGTAAGAATCATCTAAGCGCATAACATTGGCTCCCATGAAAGTAAAAATAGACATGATATTGTGTAGAACTTTATCCTAAAAGAAAGCATATTTCTGGTATCATTTTCCGTTTCAAATACACCAAATACCAACAATTAATTATTAATCACCAATAAAATGCAGAGTATCTTGCTTTAAAAATGGCAAAAAGCTTGGTTAGCTCAGTGGCAGAAGACAAATTGTGTTCAGTCTCCTACAAAAATAAAATCCATAGAGTGCTCGCCTTGGGACAGGGCCCAAGACCAGAGTTCAAGTCCCACAAATGACTTCCCCCCGTTCCCCAAAAAAAGTACTAAAACTTCAGGGCTGGGAAGGTGGCTCAGTGGTAGAGTGCTTGCCTTGCATGCCTGAGACCCTGGGTTCGATGCCTCAGCACCACATAAACAAAAAGAAAAAAGCCGGAAGTGGTGTTGTGGCTCAAGTGGTAGAGTGCTAGCCTTGAGCTGAAGAGCTGAGGGACAGCGCCCAGGGCTAGAGGTCAGGCCCCATAACCAGACACAAAATAATAATAATTTCTGGTTTCTTTGCAATATTGAGGATGAAACCCAGGATCTTGCGCAAGCCGGGAAGTGCTCTACCACTGAGCTAGACCCCCAACCCCACAGCCTCAAACACTGCTATCAGTATGTACCAATGTACTTCTAGGCAAGGAAATCTTACATCGTTAGCACTTACTGGGAATATTCCAGCAGCAGTACCCAAAAGCAAAAGGGCTTGGTGGTGGGTTTGCGGCATCTCTGAAAGGCGGATGCACTGGACTATCAACTCAACGTTGAACTTCTCCGCATCCAAAATATCTGTGGGTGAGAGTGGAAGGTCAGCAGCAGACACATCCATGCCCAGCGGACAACTTCCACTACCAACATGCACGCACCTTTAGGTATCCTGCCACCGTCCGGGGACAGCTTCTGGCAGATGTTGAGCAGACAACTAAGAATTAATTGCTTGGTGTATTCCATGTTCTCCTGCTCTGGGGACTTGGGCTCTAAACACCTTTAGGATGCACAGAGAAACAATGGCAGAACTGTCACATCCATGAGCACCGTCCAGAGTGCACAGCAGACAAGAATAACTACAACACTCAATACTAATCACTAAACGGAAGTGCAATTCTAAATTAAGTATAGTAGTAAGGTCTCCAGATAAGATGTAAGATTTCTAACTTGAGTTTCTCCTCATGTAGACAATTCTCTCTCCTCTTCATGGTCTTTCCCATTATACTATTTGGAATCTTACAGGACAACTTGGAAATTTACTTTGCTTTTTGCATGACAGCATGTTCCATATTCTTCAATTCAGTGATGTACTCTACACATAGCTATCTAAAAAAAAAAATTTGCAGGTGTCTCACTGTATCTCTATAGTACAAGGAACACAGCCCAGGGACCTCACTGAAAGGCGAGTGTCCACCAAGCTATTTTTACATCTCTCAACTATGGGGCCTTCCTTTATTGTTCAATTATAAATAAGAACATGCTGAAAAAATAAATAAAACGAAGTGGACAACTTATTAAACCCTTATTCTGTCACAGATCCAAGCTGGGTGTTGTTACCTTGACAGCAAGTTAAAAAGACTTGGGATGAGTATCTGGGGGCTTTTGAGCTTCTTCTTGTGCTGTAGCAGTTCGAGGATGAGTGTTACTCTCTGCCAGTACAAACCTCCAACTTCCTGGACAGATTCCACATCTTGTGATTTTCTGGACAACAGAGCAGAAAAAAGGCTGAGATGCAAATGCGATCACCGTTATGTGGAAACCGTGGTACCCAATGAATTGTGCCACTGTAATGACATCAAGAATCACAATGGAGGGGCTGGGAAGGTGGCTCAGTGGTAGAGCGCTTGCCTTGCATGCCTGAGGCCCTGGGTTTGATTCCTCAGCACCACATAAGCAAAAAGAAAAAAGCTGGAAGTGGTGCTGTGGCTCAAGTGGTAGAGCGTTAGCCTTGAGCTGAAGAGCTGAGGGACAGCGCCCAGGCCCAGAGTTCAGGCCCACGACCGGACCCAAAAAAAAAAATAAAAAAATAAAAAAACATTTTTCTAGTCTCCCTACTTTAACCTCGCTGTACTAAGACACATCCTTGCTAAAACTTGGGAGGAAGGAAGGAAAGATTGGACATTAAGAAGGACTCACCTAGGCTGTTTTTTAAACTATGAAGACCGCTCTTGGGGTGGCTCAAGTGTTAGAGTACCTGAGTTCAAACGCATGATCTGCCCCCGAAAAACCTTACTCTATTCAAATTTATGTAATTTTAGCTAATAGTTGCTATGGTAAAAATTTATACTACAATAATCTGTTACCTCATGATGGGTGTTAAATACAAATACAGACAACTGAAACATGTCCCTTCCCAATACTGACACACACAATTCTAGGCACAAAAAAGAGATCCCTATCATCATAGCTTACTACTTTAGAGATATATAATATCAAATTTAACCAAATACTAATACAACCCTTCACTTTCACAGATTTGGGAACAACAAAAAAAAAGTCTAGAGTATCTTCCAATTTCCCAGAGGCCACTGCCACTCTGCGATACAGAAGCAGTCATGCTGGTGGGAGGCATTAGCCAGATCCTTTCTCCCACTGACTTTCCACCTTCAGCCCGGTCCTGGCCAGCGGCCAGATTCACCCATCTGTCAGCAGCCAGGAGTCAACACCCTCCCAATATACACTCACCAACTTCATCAGACTGCAAAGCTGGCATGATGCTCTATAAAACAGTAACCAGTTTATGCTGAATGGAACCCCTTTAGATAATTGAAGGTAATACCAATAAATAAATCATACAAACTTGAAATTTTTTTTCAGGTATTTCATTAGAAAGCAATGAACCTGCAGATGCCTGTGCCTGACATAGATAAACCCAGGAAGGCTTTCTAAACACACGGTCTGCTGACCACCGAACTGGGTCAGGATCTGGCCTCTGCAGTGACGAGCTGCTGGAGCTCAGAGGGGAACAGCTGCGTATGAGAAGTGCACACACTCATTTTCCAATCACTCCACAACCCTGTCTACAGAGAACATCCCCTACCTGGCGAAGAGGCGGAAGCGAGCTGCTGCCTGCAGTGTGTTGTCTGAGCAAAGAGCATTGCCGAGCCTATGTAGAGGGCCTGCGTGTGCAGCGCTGACTTCACCCTGCAGCTCAGGGGATCAGCGAGGCTGGAGGGATAGGTCCACAAAAGAGAGAAGAATTTGAATAACTGGAGGACGTCTCCTAGGTGCACCTGATGAAGAAGAAAGTGGAATGGAGAGCTCACTCCAGCACGATGGTGCCAAGTCCTCTCTTAATTAATGTACAATTATAAAACATTAATATTTCAATGTTACATCTTGCTAATCACTGAAATTTTAAGCAGTTGGGAAGGATGTCAACAAAGGTTGACAGAAAGAAGCCTCACTCTAACCTTGCCTTTCAAACACTGAACAAAAACGTGAGGACAGTAAATAAGTAGAAACCAAGAGGAGAGTGGTTCAGAGGCTTCATTAAGAAAGTGCTTCAGGGGCTGGGAAGGTGGCTCAGTGGTAGAGTGCTTGCCTTGCATGCATGAGGCCCTGGGTTCGATTCCTCAGCACCACATAAGCAAAAAGAAAAAAGCCGGAAGTGACGAGGTGGCTCAAGTGGTAGAGCGCTAGCCTTGAGCTGAAGAGCTGAGGGACAGCGCCCAGGCCCAGAGTTCAGGCCCACGACCGGACCCAAAAAAAAAAATAAAAAAATAAAAAAACATTTTTCTAGTCTCCCTACTTTAACCTCGCTGTACTAAGACACATCCTTGCTAAAACTTGGGAGGAAGGAAGGAAAGATTGGACATTAAGAAGGACTCACCTAGGCTGTTTTTTAAACTATGAAGACCGCTCTTGGGGTGGCTCAAGTGTTAGAGTACCTGAGTTCAAACGCATGATCTGCCCCCGAAAAACCTTACTCTATTCAAATTTATGTAATTTTAGCTAATAGTTGCTATGGTAAAAATTTATACTACAATAATCTGTTACCTCATGATGGGTGTTAAATACAAATACAGACAACTGAAACATGTCCCTTCCCAATACTGACACACACAATTCTAGGCACAAAAAAGAGATCCCTATCATCATAGCTTACTACTTTAGAGATATATAATATCAAATTTAACCAAATACTAATACAAAATGTTTTGTTCAAGTACTAATTCAGGAAGTAAATGTTCTGTCTCCAAAAGCAGTCAAGTATAACCTGGACAAATTGCCCAATAAAAGAAATAGGTGAGAGTCAACCATTAGTTGGAAAACCTGGCAGCCTCAAAATTTGACAATTGAACTGAACTGTGTGCAGACCGAGCGCCCCAGCCCAGTCTCTGCTTCCATCCCCCTACCCCACCTGGCGCTGGGCAGCAGGCCCCTGCTTAGCCTCTGGCTCTCAGCATGCTAGGGCCAGGTAGCACTGCATTCTACGCTATTTCCTTACCACAGCGGTAATGATGCTTTCCAACTTCTTTATCTTCTTCTGCAACAAGCTGAAGACTCTTATTGCAAATGGAAAGTGAGTTTCTTTGAAAAATGAGCAGCAAGAGACTAGCACAGACACAATCACATGAAAGGCCACTTTCTGCTTCACAGTAACTGATTCTTTTTCAGCAGCATTTATTAATTCCTCCACCTTGAAAAACAAACACACTCCATTACTGGTAGCTCCTGACTTTCTTCAGACAACCTCTTCTACCTCAGGCCCACCTGGGTGCTGTGTGCCTCCCACACTGAGTGAGATGACAAGTACAAAGGCTTCAAGGAGATAGCACTGATTTCTCATTATAAAAGTATTTTCAGGACTGGACGGGTGGCTCAACTGGTAGAGCACCAGCCTAGCAAGCCCAAGGCTCTGAGTTCAAGTGCCAGCACTAGTGCACATGAAAGCTCAAGTATTTTAGTAAGTTGTAATGTACTTAAATGCACTTGCCAACAGGTTACTGTATTTAAATCACATACCTACCATATCTAATACCATTTACCACTTATTTACGAAAGAGTGACACTGGTCAAGATGCACTGCACTCAGAAACTGAGATGCTGAATTGGAATGTCTGTACAACTATTTATAGATACTTTTGTAAAAACTTAGAAGTAAGTTCCTCTTTTTTTCTTGGTTGTGGGACTTGAACTCGGACTGGGCACTGTCCCTGAGCTTTTTTGCTCTACCACTTTGAGCCATAGCTTCGCTTCTGGTGGTTAATTAGAGATAAGACTCTCAGGGACTTTCCTGCCCTGGCTGGCTTCGAACCATGATCTTCAGATCTCAACCAACCAAGTGGCTAGGATTACAGGTATGAGCCACTGGAACTTGACTCAAATTTCTTTTTTTTTTTTTTTGTCAGTTGAGGGGCTCAAACTCTGGTCTTGGGCGCTATCCCTCAGCTCTTCAGCTCAAGGCTAGTGCTCTACCACTTGAGCCATAGCGCTACTTGCTGCTTTCTGAGTGGTTTACTGGAGATAAAAGTCTCACAGAGGGCTGGGAAGGTGGCTCAGTGGTAGAGCGCTTGCCTTGCATGCTCGAGGCCCTGGGTTCGATTCCTCAGCACCACATAAGCAAAAA